AAATCCTGTATAATAATAAATTATCTATATATATATATATATATATATATATATATATATATATATATATATATATATATATACACACATACATACATACATACACACACATACATACATACACACACACAATTGTGTTCAAAATAATAGCAGTGTGTTGAAAGAAGTGAATAAAGCTCAAAATCCTTCTAATAGCTTTTATTTCCATACACACAAAAGCATTGGGAACACTACACATTCTATTCCAAATCAGAACATGAAGAAAAATATATCAAATTTGTGTTGTTCCTATAAAAAAAATGTAAGAAAAGTGAACATTAGACTGTTCAAAAAAATAGCAGTGTTTGTATTCTTCTTTACAAACTCAAACATTCACTATATAAACTGAAAAATGTTTGAAGATTTTGCTTTCCTTTGAATCACTTAATTAATATTTAGTTGTATAAGCACTGTTTCTGAGAACTGCTGTACATCTGTGTTGCATGGAGTCAACCAACTTCTGGCACCTGTGAGCAGGTATTCCAGCCCAGGATGATTGGACTACATTCCACAGTTCTCTATTTCTTGGTTTTGCCTCAGAAACTGAATCTTTGATGTCACCCCACAAGTTTTCTATTGGATTAAGATCCGGGGTTTGGGCTTGCCACTCCATAACGTCAATCTTGTTGGTCTGGAACCAAGATGTTGCACGTTTACTGGTGTGTTTGGGGTCGTTGTCTTGTTGGAACACCCATTTCAAGGGCATTTCCTCTTCAGCATAAGGCAGCATGACCTCTTCAAGTATTCTGATGTATTCAAACTGATCCATGATCCCTGGTATGCGATAAATAGGCCCAACACCGTAGTATGAGAAACATTCACATATCATGATGCTTGCGCAACCATGCTTCACTGTCTTCACAGTGTACTGTGGCTTGAATTCAGTGTTTGGAGGTCGTCTGACAAACTGTCACTGGCCACTAGACCCAAAAAGAACAATCTTACTTTCATCAGTCCACAAAATGTTGCGCCATTTCTCTTTAGGCCAGTCAATGTGCTCTTTGGCAAATTGTAACCTCTTCAGCACGTCTTTTTTTCAACAGTGGGACTTTGCGGGGGGTTCTGTCAGATAGCTTGGCTTCACATAGGCGTCACATAGGCACTGGACACCGCAATGCAATGTACACTAACAAACTGGACACCACCATGCACTGTACTCTGTAACGTACTGGACACAGCAATGCACTGTACCTGGTGTGCTCTCTTCTCCTGATGCTCCTCTGGCTGCAGCAGGTGAATTCAGGGGCTTCCAGGTTGCCACTTGCTGGGTCCTCGAGCCTGAGGAGCTAGTGAGCAACCTAGCTATTTGCCAGTCTGTTTTCTTTTTGTTTTCCGATTTTAATTTTTTTTCCAGCTGGCCCTGCAAGCCGAATAAATGGCGTTGGTGGGCCGTAGTTTTAGGACCCCTGCTCTAGACTGTCAACACAAACCTTAAAGTACACTTTTAAAAAAAAAAAAAAAAATTGTACAAAGGACATTGCATACAATCAATGTGAAGTGTCACTTGTGCTGATGGTGGCTGCTTTCATTGAAATATCCAGGTCTTCCAATCCCCCCCCCCCTACCCTTGCAGTGGTAATCTGGTGCTGCAGATGTTAATAAAGCCAAAAGACTTGTTACTGGCACCCATGTGGAATCCTCAGACTCTGAAGAGGGCTTATCTTCCCTTTCTTCCCCTGCTTCTTTGAAAGTAAGGCAGTGGCCATGACAAAGTCACAGAGCTGGGAAGAAAAATAGAGGGACTTTTACCGGCCCTTGTGTCTTAACATTTCCAGAGGGTAGTGATCCTTCCCAAATACCACCATAGAGACACTCTTCTTTGCTTTGGCAGGGGAGCAGTGGGAAACGACCAAGGGGACAGAGGAGGTATTTGAAGAAGGAAGAGACCCAGGTGGGAGAGAAATACCCAATCCCAAATAGGATCCGCAGGGGTTGCATACAGAGCCTCTCCATGGATCTTTGGGCAAAAAGTGTGCTGAATAACCCTTTCGCTCCATTCCCCTTCTGTTCGCATTTCCCATTACAGCAGTGAGGGGGACCCAATCATGGTACTTAAAAGCAGCTGCGGTGGAAGGGGAAGCCACCTAGTTGTGCCAACCTCAGGCTGTGGGTGCCCGAAATCATCCAAAGACTAGCCATTACTGCCAGACAGAAGCAGTCTTACCACCAAAGGAATACAGCCCAAGACATAATTTAAGTCTTCCAATGAACACATGAAAAGCTCAACTGAAGGACAAAGGGAGTGAAGCCAGCAAGGAAGGCTGCCCAACCAAGCACTTGGGAAAACAGTCAAGACCTCTAAGTTGGCAGCAGAGTTTTTAAACTGATGCAACCCACTCCAAGGCTGCGACACATCTACCGCATTACAGTCCCCTCAGAGGCCAGATGCAAGAAGACTAGCCTCTCACATAACGTGTCCAAATAGAGCCCTGTAGTGCAAAAAAGCAGTGACACAGGGAGACCCATATGTACTTAAAAGGACCGGGCCTTGAAGACACTGCCTCACCAGGAAAATATGGGCCACATTTTTTTTAAGAGTGATTGCAGTGCCCCCCCGCTTCACCCACTTTGAAATTGCATACCCCTGAGGGGGTCTTCAGAGACTGGGTCACACCAGTGCATATCACCACTACCTTGGACCTGTGAAACACCCTGTGACTAACTCCACTCCATACATTTTAACCCGTCTTTACAGCAGTCCCGCAGTGATTGGGCCAATTTAGGTCTACAGTCAAATTCTCAATATGACAAAATTTATACTGCATAGTTCAGTTTTTAAAAAGGAGAGGCGTGGCTATGCGGTCTTTGCTGTCAATATTTACACATAAGTTTACTACACGGGTTGGACAAAATTATAGAAACACCAGGCAAAAAGAACAAAATCGTTACCCAATATAGTGGTGGACCGCCTTCGACATCCAAGATGGCCTGAATTCTCCTGGGAATTGATAAATATAGATCATGGATGGTAATGATACCACTCTTCATGCAGAAATAGTTCCAGTTCTCGCAAAGATGCCAGAGATGGAAAACAAGCCCAAACCTTGTTCTCCAAAACTGAGCATAGTGGCTCTATGATATTAAGGTTCGGCGACTGCGGTGCCAAGGGAAAGTGCAAGGCTTTGTCTGCATCCTTATCAAACCATGATTCCACAACACCAGCTGTGTGAATCGGAGCATTGTTATCTTGGTAAGTGGCATGATCTTTGGGAAACAAGGTCTGCACCATGGGGTGCACATTGTGAGCTAAAATTTGTACATGGTCGCTGGCAGTGACTCTACCCTTCAAGGTAATGATGGGGCCAGCAGAATACCATGATATGGCTGCCCAAACCATGATTGCGCTGCCACCATGCTTTACCGTGGGCACAAGACAGTCCTGGTCATAAGCTTGGGACAGCGATTTCCACGCGTAAACACATCTGGTGGTTGGGAACAGTGTAAAGCCCAATTCATTGGATCATATTACAGTCTTTCATTGATCAATAGTCCACGATTTATGGATGTTCGTTGACCATGTTGACCACGCTTATGCTTGTCAGATGGTTTTCCAGAAACTGTATATGCCATCATAACCTTTGATACTGCACCTCGCAATATGGCAAATAAATTGGCAACTTCAGTCACAGAGGCACCAGCTAAGCACACACCAACAGTTTGCCCTCTTTGAAGCTCAGTAAGCTCTGACATGACTGTATTACTAGCAGCATACACAGTGAATGACAAAAGTGAGGCTTCCCACCTGTTAGCTAGGTGTCTCATCACGCAGCGGAAGCAAAAGAATGTTACAAACACTTCCGTTTTCAATGAGAACCATGTCCTCACTTTCACTCCTGCAAATCATGTAGTGTTTCCATATTTCTGTACATCCCACAGGTGAATTTTAATAACAAATATGTCTATTTTTTATGGTTTCTTTTGCTTTTTATTATTGCATGTTGTAGTTGCAGCTCCTTCACCTTGGTTTCAAGTTCAAACGGTCCTTTAATGAGTGGAGTAGTTGTTTTTAAACATTTCCATATCAATGCAGGTCACATTTTTGGAATGATGTAGAACAACTCTAAAAAATTTTCCAGCACCTTCCGCTATCCCTGCCCCTCTCCTTCCCTGACATTCCCCCTGCCAATTTTTAATTTAAATGCAATTATGCATGCCTGTTTCCTGCAGTGTTCTGGCCAATCCACTGATGTCACAGGTCTTTCTTAATCCTGTGACTCTGGAGTCATTGCACTGAAGGACCAATAAGCACTGTGCTGTTCAGGAGAACCACCAGCGTGATGTGATACATTCAGAGGGGCATGTCCATAATGGTCTGGTCTCACAGGATGTGGATTGCATGAGTATGGTGTCATTCAGCCTGGAAGAGGAGCAGCACTGGACCAAGGAGTGATGAATCTTTGGGGGATAGCACCAGAAGGCAGGTAAGTATTGCAGCCAGAGCTTCTTTTTAATCTTTTACCACACTGGGCCACTGAATTTTTCTTTTTTGTAAAAACAGGCATTGATACACAAATCAACAAGTAGAAGTAGAAATTGCTTATGCTAGTACAGACTAAATTTATTTCAGTCACGGTTATTGAAACTACTAGAACATGCTCTACAGGGGAACGTTCACCTGGATAAATGGTACAAGGTGCAAGAGTCACATTATCCAAATGTAAGTATGGAAATAATTAACATGAATAACCTTGAAAGCACTGCAACTTGTAATCACCAGATTATCTAGATAGCAGTGGAAAAATACTTATAAGCTTTGTGGAAGAAAAACAGATTTTAAATATCTGAAAGCAACAATGAACCTGGGAAAAAACTACCTGCAGGGTTCATCCATGGATTAACTGAGTTGTGTGCAGCATAATATTTATAAAATAAATGTTCATGAATATTTTAGGATAGCATAGAAGACATTTATTTTCACTGCAAAACATGTACGATGAAATTTCAGACATGCATAATGTATTTTACCTGCACAGGGCAGAGAGGACATGTTCATGGAAAGGGCTATGCTCGCTGCGAAGCAAAGATACCAGTTGCTGAATCATCCCCATAGAACATAGTGTACCTGCAAATCAGTAATCTATGTTACCACTAAATTTTAAATGAGATTATTCATATGCAATATTTTACATTAGGTTAGCACTTGTGCACAAAGAGCATTTTTCGCATGTTGCTTTCTGGAAAATTGACAAATCAATGAAATATAAACAGAACTTACGTACAGATGTTTCATTTGAGAGTCCTACAGCAGAAGTAGCAAAATGAGAAAAGACAGACGGAAAGGAAGAACTACTATCTACATTCCTCTACAAAACTACCAGGCGGCTTCTTCTGTCCACTGTTAATGCAGATCTATAATTTATGCACACAAAAGCTTAAAGGCTTGTTCACACCAGCCCCTGTGCTAAATTGCCAGTAGGCTGGTGTTCATTGTGTAAGGGCAGTGCTTTGCATAGTTACAATGCAATAAAAAACTGGATTTTTTAACGTTATTGAAATATTACAAATTTACATTTCAGACACTTCTAAACACAGCAACATACAGCGTAAAAATGCAGACATACTGCCATTTAATGCAGTACACATTACCCAACATGTATGGTGTGAACAAGCACATAGAACACAATCATTTCTTAGTTGCACACAGGACACAGTAACTTTGATGATTGGGTTATACAGCTACCTTCAGGTGAATGGACACTGGCAATCAAAGTTTTATCCATTTAAATACCGGGCACTTTTACCCCCTTCCTGCCCAGGCCATTTTTCAGGTTTCAGCGCTCTCACACTTTGAATGACAATTGCGCGGTCTTACAACATTGTACCCAAACCAAAATTTTATCATTTTCTTCACACAACTAGAGCTTTCTTTTGGTGGTATTTAATCACCGCTGGGATTTTTATTTTTTGCTAAATTAACAAAAAAAGACCAAAAATTTTGAAAAAAAAAAAAACAAACCCTTTTTTTTGCTTCTGTTATAAAAGTTTGCAAATAAATAATTGCTCTTCATAAATTTAGGCCGAGATGTATTCTGCTACATGTCTTTGGTGAAAATAACCCAAATTAGGATGTATTTTTTAGTTTGTAGGAAAGTTATAGAGTTCACAAACTATGGTATAGATCTGAAAATTGATCAATCCTGAAGCACTGACAGCCAATCTAATTTCTTGAGGTCCAAGAATATCAGAACAGTACAGATATCCCCCAAATGACCCCTTTTTGTAAAGTAGATAGTCCGACGTACTTCATAAGAGGCATGGCGAGTTTTTTGAAGTTGTATTTTTTGTCATAATTTTTCGGAAAATTTAAAAAAACGATTTTCACTATTTTTTTTTTTTTACATACTGTCACCAGTGCAGTACAGTGTCATCATATAACTGGGATCAGGGACACTGACAGTATGAAAAAAAAATAAAATAAAAATATATATATATATATATATATATATATATATATATATATATATTTTTTTTTTTTTTTTTAATTTTATTATTTTTAATTTTTTTTCCATATTTCACTAGGACCAAAGTAGTACAATGTTACCATAGTAACATTGTACTACTTCGGGGAAGTGATCAGTATTTTTTTTTTTTTTACACAATTTGCTTATAGGAAAGAATTACTTTGCTATAAGCAAGCATTTACCTGAATGACATCGATTCATTCAGGGTTTTTTTTTTTTTTTGTGCTTAGCTGTGATTTGGCCACGGCTAATCACATGACACAGCTGGGCTGTGATTGGCCCAGCTTGTGCATGTGATCGCTGTGACCATTCACAGCTAGGTACACTAGTATACAATGGATGGCATGAATGAAGCCATCCATTGTATACAACTGTAATGTGACCTGCTGTAATTGGTCACAGCAAGTCGCATGGTACTGGCAACGGGGCCGGTACTCAGATCTGTCATCGGCCGTGTCCGAGGTACACGGCTGGTGACAGATTGCACCGCTGCACGGCTCTGCAGGCACGCAAACTGCGCATGCCCAGGAGGATGCCATATGGTATCCACCTGGAACGCTGAGGGATTTTGCCAGCCGCCAAACGGCCATTGGCCGGGCGGCAAATGGTTAAAGGGCTGCCCTAGCATAACCCATCCCACTTGTAGCAAGTTTCAGTTTTTTGCTAGTGTCTTTAGGTGTACAGACATCTCTCTGCTCAGAGAATAGCAAACCTTTGCGTCATCATTTTATTTTCTCATTTCTATTGTTTGCATCATGATTCTTCTATCAAGTTTACAGCTGCTGTACTGACATTTACTATCTTGAACAAGTATTGGGGTTCTTTAGCATGCCAATTCAGATAAGACACAGAAAGAAAATCAGCAACAAGCAACTTTTCATAACAGTAGACTGCAGGTGACTCCTATTTCTTCAACCACCTCTTTTTCCCAGTCTGGTTCCTACCCTCTCTTCCCTGTAACATCACTCTCTACTCAAACTCTTTCCTTCTCTCGTCCTCCCCACAACATAGCCTATACTTATCCTCACCCCTACCGTCTCCCTATTACTGCACCCATAACCTCCTAATAAATCTGAAACTACATGCTGATAAAACCTCCAGAGAATGAGGGTAGTTGCCTAAATTTTAAATTGCACTTCCATCAGCAGCTCCACGAGATTTAGAGACCTCTGTGTAGGCATTTGTTGCTGCATTGTCCAGCCCTCAGTAGCATTTCTATGTCCTGTAATGTGTGATTAAGAAAATAGGTTTTGTGATTTACCTGTAAAATCTGTTTCTTTTACAGCACACAAGTCCCTCCCCTCTTTTCTTCTATTTCACCCCTTAGCAGGGGCGGACTGACAACTCATAGAGCCCCCAGACAATAGGGGATCATGGGGCCCCTGTATCCTTGCCCAAACTCAAAAAAAGCCTATGAAAAAGGTACCAGGGGCATCTCATGGGGCCCCCTACTGACCCCGGCCCTTGGGCAGTGCCCGAGTTTCCAAATGGTCAGTCCGCCCCTGCTCCTTAGTGCAGGCTACTAAACTCAGGCTTTCTAGAAACAGGATTGGTTGTACTATGGCTGTTCTTACAGCTTTATCTGCAAATGGTCAATCACCCAAAAGGTAGCTATATAACCGAATTCTGTAAAAAACGTAGCTCCTGCAATGTATTCCAAGAACAAAAATGTTTCAGGTAAGTAAAAATCCTGTTTGTGTGCCTTGGTGTTGAACCTGTATTGATAACCACAATGAAACATATATTCTGGTAAATGTGGTTACCACCTGTAATTCCTTTTTTTTTTTATTGTGCATGGCTTTTTTCCTTTAAATGTAGGCCAAGTTGTGCAGCAAAAGAGACTGGGACAAATCATAAAAACACTGATGGGAAGGGGGGCTTACAAAAGTCAGCTTTTATTCATAGAGTTTAAACTCTGTTCTGGGGGGAAACAAAAAAATTCCAAAATCTCTCACGCATGAGCGTTGAGGGCTTGTTACAGTCCCTGTGTGTGTTCTCTCAAAAAGTTAACCAAGGGATCTACAGTCAGGTCCATAAATATTGGGACATCGACACAATTCTAAAATTTTTGGCTCGATACACCACCACAATGGATTTGAAATGAAACGAACAAGATGTGCTTTAACTGCAGACTGTCAGCTTTAATTTGAGGGTATTTATATCCAAATCAGGTGAACGGTGTAAGAATTACAATAGTTTGCATATGTGCCTCCCACTTGATAAGGGACCAAAAGTAATGGGACAATTGGCTTCTCAGCTGTTCCATGGCCAGGTGTGTGTTATTCCCTCATTATCCCAATTACAATGAGCAGAAAAAAAGGTTCAGAGTTCATTTAAAGTGTGCTATTGGCATTTGGAATCTGTTGCTGTCAACTCTCAAGATGAGATCCAAAGAGCTGCCACTATCAGTGAAGCAAGCCATCATTAGGCTGAAAAAACCAAACAAACCCATCAGAGAGATAGCAAAAACATTAGGCGTGGCCAAACAACTGTTTGGAACATTCTTAAAAAGAAGGAACGCACCGGTGAGCTCAGCAACACCAAAAGACCCGGAAGACCACGGAAAACTACTGTGGTGGATGACCAAAGAATTCTTTCCCTGGTGAAGAAAACACCCTTCACAACAGTTGGCCAGATCAAGAACACTCTCCAGGAGGTCCTAGGTGTATGTGTGTCAAAGTCAACAATCAAGAGAAGACTTCACCAGAGTGAATACAGAGGGTTCACCACAAGATGTAAACCATTGGTGGGCCTCAAAAACAGGAAGGCCAGATTAGAGTTTGCCAAACAACATCTAAAAAAGCCTTCACAGTTCTGGAACAACATCCTATGGACAGATGAGACCAAGATCAACTTGTACCAGCGTGATGGGAAGAGAAGAGTATGGAGAAGGAAAGGAACTGCTCATGATCCTAAGCATACCACCTCATCAGTGAAGCATGGTGGTGGTAGTGTCATGGCATGGGCATGTATGGCTGCCAATGGAACTGGTTCTCTTGTATTTATTAATGATGTGACTGCTGACAAAAGCAGCAGGATGAATTCTGAAGTGTTTTGGGCAATATTATCTGCTCATATTCAGCCAAATGCTTCAGAACTCATTGGACGCCGCTTCACAGTGCAGATGGACAATGACCCAAAGCATACTGCAAAAGCAACCAAAGAGTTTTTTTAAGGGAAAGTAGTGGAATGTTATCCAATGGCCAAGTCAATCACCTGACCTGAATCCGATAGAGCATGCATTTCACTTGCTGAAGACAAAACTGAAGGGAAAATGCCCCAAGAACAAGCAGGAACTGAAGACAGTTGCACTAGAGGCCTGGCAGAGCATCACCAGGGATGAAACCCAGCGTCTGGTGATGTCTATGCGTTCCAGACTTCAGGCTGTAATTGACTACAAAGGATTTGCAACCAAGTATTAAAAAGTGAAAGTTTGATTTATGATTATTATTCTGTCCCATTACTTTTGGTCCCATAACAAGTGGGAGGCACATATGCAAACTGTTGTAATTCCTACACTGTTCACCTGATTTGGATGTAAATACCCTCCAATTAAAGCTGACAGTCTGCGGTTAAAGCACATCTTGTTCGTTTCATTTCAAATCCATTGTGGTGGAGTATAGAGCCAAAAATGTTAGAATTGTGTCGATGTCCCAATACTTATGGACCTGAGTGTATGCGGCCTTGCTGCCCTCAACTGACTGGGGAATTCCAAAAACCAACTGCAAAGAAACAAGAGAAAAGAGGGCGCATTGGCCTAGTGCATTATCGCACGGGAGTTTATTACACATTGCATAAAAACCTATATACTCACAAACCAAGTTTGGATACAGCGATATGAAAATTATTTGTCCACAATCACAATGGGGGGCAGGACCCAGATGGATGCGCATGCCAAGTAGACAACGTCAGGGAATCCGCGCTGGCTTACACGTTTCATGGGCAAGTCCTCTTCGTTAAAGCCAAAAAGAGGCTCCATTTGATGCACCTTAAATATCCTACTGACCATATCATGAGAACCCACAGACCCCTCCGTGCCACAGGGGGCAGGTAACCACAGCCGAATCACATGATCAAACTTATACAGGGATAAACAAACAAACAAACAAACAAACAAACAAAATCTAAAAACACCCTCCAGCAAGCCAGACATAGGGCCACCAACATGCTCTACTGCTCTAGGCATATTCAATACAGAAATAAACATAAAAGGATGGTGTTAAAATAGAAATGTAAATGGTCAAAAAATGTGTATATATCACAAGGCTTAAAATGTACTGATGCAATGTGACATACAGGGAAAGGAGATGGAGGGGATAAATGGCAACATATAATGAGTTGCTAACAGTACACATAATACTGGTGGTGCACCACTCATTTGGTCAACTTGTACTTACTATCCGCTCCTAACTGGTGTCCATTGTGTGTTTCTCAATATCGTGTCCAGTGTGCACAGACTAAGGCAGAAGTGTACCATCGGGTCAGGCGGCTCATGGAGCACAGGACACTGCCGAAGAAAGCTGAAGTGCGAGCTGGAATGCGCTCCAGCTGTCACTTCCAGTGGTGATTGCAGCACTTCTGGCAGAAAACCTGGGCTCAAGCTGCTTTGTTGAAGCTTTCCAAGCATACATCATTTCTACTACGAAGCCCAAAGTAAGCACAAGGTCATGGCTGCTATTGTTAAAGCATGTTAATACATGTTTTAGGTCTCTTGCACAGGAGGATGCCTAAAGATGTAACGTTTTAGGCATACAGGCACTTTTATTTTTTTTTTACTGATGTAAATACAGCCCGATGTTTTTAACGTGCCTGTACACACAGACGCATAAACATGTTGCATATAGATCAGGAAAAGAAAAAAAATCTGAATTGCTGGACAGTATTTTACGTGCAATGCATCCCCAATTTTTGCATTTGTGTACGCAAATACACGCATTTAAAATATGCAAAAATGTTTTTATGAATTAAAAGAAAAGCACATACATTTTACCAATGAAAACTCCCTTAAAAATTGAATCTGAATTACCTTTATGTTCTGGATGGCTGTACAGCAGATTCTGCAGCAAAAAAGCAGATTTTATTTTTAGTTTCTCTACATCACTCTGCATGGCACGCATCAAAACAGAAAACCCATCCATCTTCACAAATTCAGCCAGCCCAGCTTCTTGCTCCCGAACCAGGCCTGAAAGCCACAATTAACAGAGTTAACAGGCATTCACCTGTGACTACTTGCAAGAATTACTTAGACTACCACACTGTTAATAGGACATTTCAATGATTTACGTATAAAACAACAGCAAACGTACTCCTTGAAGTCCTGTCACATGACAGATTCTTGCCACTGGAAATCACAGTATGTGTAACTGCCCATGTGAATGGACCCATGCAATTTATTCAGAATGTACACAACATGGTGAAATGCATGTGAGGCTATGTCTATGTTAAGAAAATAGAGGGCAAGGAGTTTAGAGGTGTTGCTCACTGCAGACAATCAGATCTACATTTGGACTACTTTCACACTGCTCCCTTGCGAAAATGCATATGTATTTTTACCAAGTTTCTGGTGCAGTTTGTACCTGTGAAGAAAAAAAACAATAATAACCACGTGACTCAAAAACTGCACCAAAAATGCAACTGTGGGGTGTGTTTTTATGTGTTTTCCATTCAATTCAATGGGGAAGTGCATTTTTGGTGCAGTTTTCTTACCACAACAAACACGCACCAAAATGCAGCAAGCAGGACAGTGTGAAGAATGCTATAGGTTTTAATGGTCATGCATTTTTCTTCCTTTTTTAACGCAAAACAGAAGAAAAACTAATCAGTGTGAAAGCAGACATATAAAGCTACAAGATCCTGATAAGTTGGTAGGGACAACAGTAGTGTAACTCAGAGGCTAGTGTGCTCATAACATTTCCAAAATGATAAATCATGTAGTACACTGGATAAAATGTGCAGTGATTAGTTTCTTTGGGCCACACAAAATTTTAGTTTGTTTGGGGTAAGCATGGTGGGTTAAATCACCAACCAGCTTCTTGTATCCAACAATGACAATTAAACCTCTGCACCAAAATTATTAACACAACTGTCAAAAATCAGTCTAACTCATTGCACCAAATTATTTTAGTGTAGAATTCGGCTTCAGGAGTAAGATACTGCTAGGCCTTGTAACTTGGTATGCAGGGCCGGTGCTAGACTATTTTGCGCCCTAGGCAAGACCAGCTACTTGCCCCCCCCCCCCCCCAAAAAAAATAAAACTTTACCTGTAGTACAAATTCCCCCTCAATCCCCCCCAACACAAATTCCACCCCCCATCCCCTCTTCTAGCACAACCCCCCCAACCCCTCAGTCCCCTCTCCTAGCACAAATTCCCCCAAGTCCCCTCTCCTGGCACAAATTCCCCCTCTCCTAGCACCAATCGTCTTTCTTCAATTCCCCCCACCTAGGACAAATTCCAACAAATCCCTCTATCTAAACCCCCTCAAAATTACCCTTCCCAGCATAAAATCCTTCCACCTTACCTAAATCACCCCCTTTCTAGTACTAATCCACAAATAAATTGTTTTCTCCTCCTAGATCCAGCCATGGTGGAGAGTAGGGAAACCAGTGGCTGTGGCTGCACCCTAGACGGCTGTCCAGTTTGCCTAGTGGTAGCACTGGCCCTGTTGGTATGTCAGAAGAGATAGCTGGAAATTTAATTAGGGAGATCTTTTCCCTGGAGTCCTCAAAACATGAGAAGCCCAGCAGCATTCACCTATACCTAAAATAACAGTTTTGGGTTGATTTGTACTTTAAATCAAATATAAAGATGTAATCTAAGTCATGCACTTACAAGAAATTGCAAAAAAGGATTTTATCCTGACTTGTTCACTGCTGTCAAGATCCAGTAATTGTAGCAATTTGCTCATAGCACCAAGACATAGAGCACACTCCTGAACAAATGGTACATTCTGGCTACAGATGCCAACCAGGTCAGCAGCTCTCCAGCGAAGCTCAGCTTCAGGGCAGCTCAAGTAGCGATTCAACAGCAGTTCCATCCCACCCAACTTGCAGAAATCTGTCAGAATGGAAAAAGGAGATGATGGAAAATATATAAATCACTAGTGTGTTTCAAAATCAAAAGAAGTTTTAAGGAGTGGTAAATACTAAGTGAATCTGACTTTTCTGGCACCTCTAAGGCTAGGTTCACACCTATGCATTTTGCAGTGAATTTCCAGATCTGCATAAACATGCTACGATCAATATAACATTAGTTCCTATGGGTAACGTTCACATATATGTTTCCACCTGTCCGTTTTTTTGGAAAGGTGCAGGGACTTTGACACACAACGCAGTGCGTTTTTGGTTCCATAGACTTCAATGGAATCCACTGAAAAATGCATTTACATGCGTTCTGGTGCATTTCCTGCATGACAACAGACACCTCCCCCTAACATGAACACATTCCAAATATCGTAAAATGCAAGAAAAACGCAACATAAACGCATTAAGAACGCAAAGCGAACTAGAAAAAAATAGATCTGTAACTTGCATAGGTGTGAACCTAGCCTAACTCATGTAATTTGCTGGATACACAAGTGGCATATTTGTAAAACAGTGAATGTGACCTTCACCATATGTTAACAGATAGTTATTCAGTCCCAGTAAATATTCAACGAATGTCGCATTCACTGCTTTATAAAATATGCTACTTGTCCTCAAAGCACAATATTATGTTAAATAGATCAGAACAAATGGGTGGTCAGCATAGTGTTTCACATCATGGGACTTCAAAGGGACCCTGTGAGAGCAGTAATATGGGAGCTACTACTGAGGACTTGTTTTCACGGGTGCAGGCTCATGGGTGCCGATATGCAGACCCTGAATTTACTACCTAGTTAGTCAATGACTTAAAACAAGCATGCAAAACATTAATACAGACTTTTCAGAATTACTGACTGTAGTCAGTCAACTGGTGGAAGCCCCAACTAGAAATAATGCTCTGTTGGGCCTTCTAAATTAATATATTATATAATTAATAACACAGATGTTTGCAGATGTAGAAGTAAGGGATAATTTGGGTAATCGCAATCACAATTACATTGAACAAACATAGTAATTACGTTTGCTGTAACTTGTAGGGAGACACAAGGCAAGGATAAGAATGCTAAACTTCAAAAAGAACCAACTTTACTAAGCTGCACTCCATGCTACATGATACTAAATGGAATGGAATTCTTGCAACAAAGAACACTGAACGAAAGTGGGAGCACTTTAAGGATGCATTTAAACAATGTCATTTGTCATTCCACTGTGCAACAAATATAAAAAGAAGAAACACTAAACCTAGGTGGCTAAATATGAATGTAAAAGGGCAAATTACCGAGAACAGACTGTCCATTAAAAAAAGACCACAAGGGTCACCATCTGCATTTGAAAACTACAAAGAATACAATAAGAAATGCAAGAGTAATAAAGATCAGCTAAAATAGATGAGAGACACATTGCTAAGGACAGTACAAAAAAATCCCCACATTTTTTTCAAATATATTAATAGTAAGTAGGAGAAGTCTGAACATATTGGCCCCATAAAATATGATCAGCTTATTGACTAGAATGGCATCAGCAGATTGGGAAAAGCAAATGTGGCACCAATATTCCAAAAAGGGCAAAAATATATATATGGAAACTAGAGACCAGTCAGCCTAACATCAATAGTATGTAAAATATTGGAAGGAACGATAAGGGACCACATCCAATAATTTGCTGATGAGAATAGTATAATTCGTGCTAGCCAACATGGATTGATGAAGGGCCTTTTTTGCCACACCAACCTATTAACATTCTTTGAGGAGGTAAGCTATAATTTGGATAGAGGAAGAACTGTGGATGTAGCCTATCTAGAGTTCGATAAGGCATTTGATACAGTACATCATGAACGCTTAATTTACAAATTGAGGTCCTTTTGGCATTAATATTGTGTGTACCTGGATGGAAAACTAGTTGCAGGAGTGAGTGCAAAAGGCAGTGAATAATGGCATATTTCCTAAATGGTCTAAAGTGGTGAGTGGTGCTGTCCTGGGACCAATTCTTTTTAACTTGTTCATAAACAATACATGTTAAAATATTGATATAGTCTAGCCCATCAACATCAGCCAAAGGAACTCAAGAAAACTAAAAAAAAAAATGACATAAAAAGAAAGTTTTTTTAAACATATTTTTGTATATATTTAAGGATGAAAATTAATCCCACTGGTGAAAACAACGTGTATACAGCACATCTTGTGAAAACATGGGTCACAGGGTGTGAACTCTACCTTATGTGTGTGTGACAAAAAGAATTTATGCCGAAGATCAAATGTATAATGAAACAAATCATAATATCATACATAATTATAAACCGGTATTCCCTTCACCAACAAGCCACACACTTCACACCAAGCAACCCTGGCTCGCTGAGGAAAAAGGACCTCCAGATAAAGGCTCAACATACCAGTCTGACAAACACTCATGTGATAGATAGGGAGTGGCCTCCCTAATCATCTGGGCTTACATATACACAGCTCCTCTGTTCACTCCCCCAGAAAGTGACATTTTACGTTGCAGAGAAGGGGACAGCCCCTGGTCTGTAAATTGCCATCCGAGGACAGGGATATGAAAATCACCACCCTCCTGTGTCCACCCAAGCATCCCCATCATGTAGTTCAATCTCAGTGTTTGATGATGATACAAAACTAAAACAGAGCAATAACTACACAATGGCATATAGCAACTTTACAAGAAGGCCTAGTTAAAATAGTAGGGTGGGCAGTGAGATAGGGGGGGGGGGGGGGGGGGGGGGGGGGGGGGGAGAACCTATGGGGGATATTGGGGATGGAAAAGGACCTGGCTTTGGTGTTAAAACCACTTGCTCCCTGTGAAAACCAGGACAAAAAAAAAAAAAAGGAGTGAGAAAGAAAGAGCTGCCAATTTAGAAAAATATCTAAAAGACATAAACGATAGCAGGAAGACAACCTTAAAATGTGAGGTCTTCCAAGGTAATGTCTCTGTTCAAAAGGATGTCTCTAAAAGGACAGAGAACACTAGGTTGAAATCTCAAGGTGTCACAGAAAAGGCAAAATTAGGGGATTTATATAAGCAACTCCCTGAATAAAAGTCTTGGTTAGGGAATGTGAGTCAAGAGGTTTCTGGAAAAGACTAGATAAAGCAGAAACCTGACCCTTCTGTCTACTGAGACCATACTGAAGAAAGACCAAAATACAAGTGAGAGTATTCCCCAGGGTTAAGCCATCTGTCTATGCACAAGACAAAGTAAGCTTTCCAAGTGCATTGGCAAACCATGCAGAAGTTGTATTTTTTATTAGCTCTGAGTAAGGTGGGCATGACAGTGAGATATACTGCTACTATCTTTTAGGACTTGAGTTTCAACAGCCATGCCGTTAAAGCCAGCGACTGAGAAACTGATCAGAACAGGGAGCCCCGTGCCAGTAATTCTGGTCTGTCTGGCTAAGGCTCATAAACTAGATGAATGAATGTGTCTGTATACCACGGTCTTATGGGCCAATGAGAATCACCTGAACCCTACAATCAGAAGGTCTACTGCAAATGCTAAAGGTCTTCTGGTCTTGTTTCAGACTATTTGTTTTAGCTTATTGTTTAACCTGAAAGCCAGGATATCCACATCTGTTTTTCCTGCCCTTGGCAGAGATTTTGGAAGATCTTGGCGTGCAGAGACCACTTTTCTAAGTCTAGATGTTGGTGGCTTAGGAATTCCGCTTGCCAATTGTCCATTATCTTTTCCAGGCATATGAATAGTCAAGAGAGTTGGAATATAGGTTTCCACTCAGAAGAGCAGCAAACTTGTTTCCCTTGACTTCTGGTGTCCCCTTGATTGTTTATGTTGCCCACAACTGTGGCATTGTCTAACTGCACCCTGATGGGTGACTTTGCAGAAGGGAGGTCCAGTTTTGTAGAGATAATCTTATGGCTCTTCGTACCAGAATGTAGAAGAAGAGTTTCAAATATATTCCCCTGGACAGTCGGGGAATTGTTAACTCCATCCCAGCTTATAATGCTGACATCCTTTGTCACCACTTTCAAAAGGCATGTCAAAGAATGACTTTAACAATTCCTGGGCAGGATTGGAGATCCACCATGTCAATATAGAAGCACTGGGTAATCCAAGGTTTGGATCTGTTTGTTACACATTGTGAGGAGGTTTGGAATGCAGAAGCAAACAGAGGTGCCATTTTGACCCGAGAGTTTGCATGTGGGATCTTCGGGAAGTAATTTTTTCCTGAGAAAGGAGATTTTTCTTGGACTGGTACTTCAAAATGAAGCATGTGCTAGAGGGCAGACTTTGGAAGGTTGAAAATATAAGCCAAAAGTCTGAAGAAACTGAACTGTCCTTTGGAAATTTCAGCTAGACAAGGTTGTGGCTGAGGAGTCCTTCAGTAGGAGGTCGTTTATGTAACCTGTGACATGAGTGCGCTGGGATCGCAAAACATCCTGAAGTGGGAAAGCTTTTTCGTGAATACTCGAGTTGCAGAACAAGCCATGAATGGGAATGCTACTTAATTGGAAATGTTGGTCTCCCACAACAAAATGGAGAAAAGGGCTGATGTTGTGGATGATGGAGAGGTGTAGATAGTCATTTTGTATGCTACAGATGCCATAAATTTCTCTTAATTTAGAGAAGCAATGTGCTAAAATGCCTTTTTACACGGGCCTCAGCTTGTATAAAAAGCAGTGTGAATAGTGAGCTTTTTACAAAGCATTTGCAGTGCTTTCAGCAAGCCTTGTTGAAGCTTTTAAAAGTAACATTCAGCTTCATTTTTTAATTGTTGAACACAGATCCTAATGGGAGTTCTGATTGTTACTTTAAAAACAAGCTGCTAGCAGGCCTCAGAACTAATTGAAGCTTGCTGAATGCCTTCTAAAGTCTGCTAGCAGCTTGCTTAAAGAGACCATCAGTAACACTTTGGTACACAAAGAAATCAATGTATTTTAAAATTACAGTATTGGGGCAGATGCCCCCATTTGATTTTGGGACTATGAATAGATTTGAATAGAAACTTTGAAACCATTCTGAACGGGTTACACCCATTGCTTTTGCATGAAGTTGGTGCAAGGCAGTCATTAAATATGCCTCCTTTTGGTCTGAAGTTGACAGACTGGAAGGCAAAAAGCAAGCAGAGCGCAGAGATAAAAAATTATTTTTTGTATCCTTTTGAAATAATAGATTGGACCCAGAGGTCCAGGATGTTGCAGATCCAGACACCAACATATGTCCTCCCACTCTAAGGAGTGGGGGAGACCCATCATTGTGGGGAGGATTTCTAGTTAGACTCGGTGAAGTTAAGAGTTCAGGGACTTGCAATGAAAGGAAGTGTTAAGACTTTATTTTGAGGTTGTTGGCTGAGGAGGATGAAAAAAGCCCTTTCACAAAGCAGAAGTAGTAGCTGTAGGAGTTGGAGGCTTAAGCTTTTTTTGTGGGGTAGGAGTGCCCTTTCCCCCCCAGTGACTTCCTTGATGAACGTATCTTGGGATTTTCCAAACAGGTGTTCACCATCAAAAAGACGTGTTAAAGATGCTTTTTACAAGCAGGTTCAGCAAACCAAGCTTTTAGCAACAAAATCACGTGCATATGCACGTAGATAAGGGACATTTTAGAGACTTGGAAAATTACAATTTCCTGAGCATCTGCACATAATAATAAGGGGGAGGGTGTCTGCTTCAGTTGTTCTAAGAGAGCAGGGTCCTCAAAAACAGGTTCCAGGTCTATGGTCATATGTACAAACACAGAAAAGGGACGGCAGAAAAAAGTCCCAGTAGTCCATGAAGTCTGCCCCTTTCATTTTATTGGGTTTTTTCACTTTTTTTGTTTGAGTATAGATCTATGCTTAACCCAAGCATGTTTGAAAATGCTTGCTGCTGACTGACCCACTACCTCTGCTGGAAATCTGTTCCAAGCATCAACTATTTAACTCAACTAAAACTTTATGAACTCCTCCAGTTAACTTGAGGTCATATCCCCGTGTTCTTGATCTTGAATATACTGTCCTCTTGAACCTTGTTCACCTACTTGATGTATTTAACCCGCCGCCCGCCATATAAGGCAATGACAAGCGCAAGGCGGCTCCAGGAGCGTACAGCGCAGCGATCGGCGGTGCGCTGTGTCCCTCGGACACAGCGGATCACGGATTAATGGAAAGAGCCGAAGATGTCGGCTCGGTCATCTTATCAGCTGTGTCCAATCACAGCTGATCGCATGTAAATGTCCGGTTATCGGCATTTCTCTCCTCACAAGCTGTCCCGCTGACAGCTTGAGAGGAGAGGAGAGCCAGTAATCGGCATTCCTCAGAGGGGACATGTACACTGATCATCAGGGCACTGATGATCAATGTGCCTTGATGATCAGTGTAGACCCATCAGTGCCACCTGCAGCCTCATTAGCGCACATCAGTGAAGGAGAAAAATCACTTATTTAAACATTTTATAACAAAAACTAAAAAAAAAAAACTTTTTTTTTTTTTTTTTTTTAAATTTTCAGTGGTTTTTGATTTGTTTAGCAAAAAATAAAAAACCCAGAGGAGAATAAATACCAGCAAATGAAAGCTCTATCTGTCTCAAAAAAAAAAAATGATAAAAATTTCATATGGGTACAGTGTTGTATGACCACGCAATTGTCAAAGTGTGACAGCGCTGAAAGCTGAAAATTGGCCTGGGCAGGCAGGGGGTATAAGGGCCCTGTAGGCTAGTGGTTAAAGATTTCAGTCATGTCTCCCCTTTCCCTCCTGAAGTCGCTCTTAATATGTTTTATCCGTTTTTCACCATTTTTGTTACCAATCTCTGGACTCATTCTATCTTATCAATATCTTTTTGTAAGGGAGGTCTCCAGAACTGGATAGTATTCTAAATGAGGTCTCACAAAATAGGATCTCTCTCTCTGTAGTGCTGACCTACACTGTACCCTCAATGTTGTACTCTGTCTTTTTCTCTAGGTGCATTATTTTATGAAACCATTGAATTGCAGTTTCCACCGATTTGACTAATCTTCCAGCAATGCCAAATCATGTTCCATGTTACAGACACCTCCAGGTATATCAACCCTATTACATACCTTTGTATCATCAGCAAAAAGACATACCTTGCCCAACAAACCTTTAGCTATATCACTTACATATAAATTAAATAAAACAGAACCTAGTACAGAGCCTTGTGGTACACTACCTGTGATTGGTCTCTGTTCTGAATGAACCCCATTTTCAACAACGCTCTGGTATCTATCCTTTAGCCAACTGCATATCTACTGAATCACCAAGGGTTAAGCCCTAGCTTTTACAACTTTTAAATTAGATCATTATGTGGAACTGTATCAAATGCATTGCTAAAATCAAGATAGGCCATGTCAACAGCACCACCCTGGTCCAAAATATTGATAACATAGTAAAAAAATCCAATCAGATTAGTCTGACATGATCTGCCCTCATTTAGATGACCCATGCTGTTTGAATAGATGAAAACACAAATCTTGTGTTAGATCTTGTGGTTTGTACAATTGGAAATGATTCCCAAATTGTACAAAACACGTCTCTGTTCTACATATCAGAGTTTTCACTATGATCATTATTTAAACATCTGCCTTTTACAAAGGATCGATCAACTGGCCACTAGTGGAGATAGGGTATACGCAGAATGTAGTAAGTCATTAAGATTTTTTTTGTGCTACCTGGAGAGGATGTGGGACAATTATATCTGACATTGGACACAACTGTAACATGTACCTATGTTTACCCAACATTGATTGTAAAGTCTCCTATTGTAATCCACACTGGATAACCTGTACAGGGCCACCACCTAAAGTCCACTTACACTGATTGACCGATTCCATTCTATAGATTGTTATACAGGCTAATTATCACAGCATATTAAATCTGAAATCTGGGCAAACATCTGCCAGCGATTTCTGAAACGTTTTGCCATTCTTGTGATTCAGACACGGACGATGGCCAACAAACCTGAAACAGCTGTGTACTGTTTTGGAATAAAAGGCTTTAAACAAATAATGCTGTGAGCATGGAACCCACCCACTTGTTCCCTGGTTAGACTCCGGAGTCCTAATCAGACACAAATCCATTTTTGTCTGTCTCCATGTAGAGCCTTTTACCCATGGAAATGCTACCATCCAAAAGAAACGCATTGAAGATCCATATTGAAGACAACTCCATGTGACCTGGAAGATCATTTGTCACAGTATTTGTGACAAAATTTTGACTATTTTTTTTTTTTTTTTTTTTAAGTTGCTCAACACAATGGCTTCTGACCTTTCATTTAGAAGCAAGGACATTCATTAATGTTAACCACCTCTTACAATTATACTTACCAGAAGCATTATCAAGGTTTTCACACAGGTCTGCAAGCAATTGCAATGCCCTCTCCTTCCGATCATCTCCATTTTCATTACTTGTATCTGTGTTCAGTTCCTGTAGGCATTCTTTGATTTGCTGCACTTCATCAACCTGGCCTGCAAAGGCACTGCGCATGGCTTCCTGGAGCCACCGCCTTCTCTACAAGACAATAAAGTCATGCTTTAGAAGATACAGAAATATTTCAAATCAATCATCTCTCAACATATGTGTATATGACACATTCTATACCTTGCCCAATCCCTGTTGAAGCGAAGAATCACTGTATTACTAGCTGTTTTCTGGTTTCCGTGCTGAGTAGCTGCCCTGCTGCACTGTGAAAAAAATGGAAGGTGGGGGGGGGTCACTTGCTCAGCACGGACTCCATTCAGAGAACATTTTGTATTGATTTCAATGAATGCAATGCGTTTTCTAATCAGACAAGGGGGCGAAGTCACAATACCACCTAGTCCAATCAGAGAATGCCTTGGAAGCCTAGGTGATGATATCTCCAGTGCTCAGAAGCCTCAGGTCACATATCCCAGGATGCTTCACTCTATTCACAGAAGCCAAAAGAAGGCAGGCCTGGCATGCATCATCACGGGTTCAGAGGCCTAAAGAAGGAAGAGCCACCTGATGATGTCAGAGGTGTGGGCCCCAGGCTGTGGCAGGAATGTATTGGATCACAGCAGGACAATGCTGAATCTGCCAAGCAGATTCAGCCGCAAATCCTCATATTCTCAGTCCGATCAAACAGATTTTTATTTTTCCCCGACAGATGTGGAAATTAAAGAGGAACTTCACCCCATCATACAAATTACAACAAAAGCACCTTTAGAAATGTTTGGTAATGGCAGTCTACCGATACTTATAGATAATTGCAGGGTTCTTATTCTTTGCATAGCTTTAGTTTGATTTTCCTCCGTATTCTACTTGCAGAGCAAATTAATCCTCTCCCTTTACTTCCTGGAACTCTGCCTAGAATTCTGGGTCTGCCACCTTAAACATGTGACAAGAAGTTCCCAAGATGGTGCCACGAGGCCCTGGTTACATCACCAGTGCCTTAAGAAACCAGGTGGAGAAGCAGAAATTGTAAATAAAGCATGAGATGTTTGTTTAACCAAATGGTTGGAAGGTGATTTCGTATCAAAATACAGATCTGTATAGTGCATTTACTTTGACCCTAGATGCCTAAAAGGTTTTATTTTCCATTCTGCTGGAATAAACAACTTGTTTTGTTTAGACCCCATTCACACTTGCGAATGGGGCTGTTAGCGATTACATGCGAGACCCAGCAGGGGTTCCCGAAAATTAGCTGTGGGAAGGAGCCCCATCAACAGCAATGAGAGGCTGGCAGCTCCCGCAGCTAATCACAGCAGCTCATATAGAATCGCTCATGGAATGATTACCTGTAAATGCGGGTCCCTAGATGTGAACTGTCTGCAAGTGGCTGTGATTAGCTGTGGGAGTCAGCAGCCTCACATTCACTTCAAAAGGGGCTGCCACCTGCAGCTGATCATCCAGAACTCCCACTTGGTGTGTATATAGATTTTATTCAGGATTTATATAATGACAACAGTTTGCGCAGCGCTTTATAAAATGAAGGTAGACATCACAGTTACAATACAATTTGGCACAAGAGGAAAGAGAGGGTCCCGCTAATTTGAGTTTACAATCGAAATTATATATTTATTTTTTTAAATTAAATTATTTATTTTTTAACCATTTTTTCCTTGAGAGGGTCTCTATCACAGGCAGAGGAAAGGACAGAATATATGCTAGGGATAATCCTACTGTTTCAAGGCCCTTACAAAAAAAAAATGCAAAAAAAAAAAAAAAAAATTTAAAAAAATTCTGTTTTACGGCTACAACTCAGGATTATTTTCATAATCGATTAGTTGGCTTTTTATGGTTTCGGTTAATTGATTAATCAAGTAAAAACCTCAAAAAGTGAGGTGTATAATTTAGTTAATGTTATTAGTTAAGTTAAAAAAAAACAAAAAAAAACACACGACAATTTATTCCTAAATATCTATATGCAGTAATGAATATAAATAACTAGCTATATGGTTATAGAAAAAAATATTTGATCCATTCTCAGAATAACAGGAGAGATATACTGTATATACTATTAGATGTTGAATTTAGTACACAGACTCAGAGATACAAATTTTTATTTAAAAGGGAAAAAAAAAAAAAAAAAATGTTAAAAGATCTGTTTTGCAGATTTTCAGACAGGATTGTAATATAATATTATGCTGGCCATACATGAACAAATTCTTCCTTCAAATTTTCCCATCACTGTGGTCAAAAGGGAACTTCGAAGGAGTAGAATAGAAAACTTCTCAATCTAGCAAGTTTTCAGACAGTGTATGTGGATTTTCTTTCAGAAATTACATTCATTTTAAAGTTGAATGTTAAAAGCATGTGATATTTTCAAAACAACATTTGTCCATTCGTTGAATGGACAAAGAATTTTCATACAAATATTCTCGCCCGAAAATCGATGTGTATTGCAAGGTTAGCACCTACTATGTTCGGCCTTAGGTGATCCTTGAAAACTCATTTATTCAGGGAAGCCTACCCCAGCCTGCACCTAAAAACTGTACTCCAGCCATCTCCATCAGCTCATCCCTCCTATTCCTTCTGTATCAAACTGTATTGTAATTGTACTCTTCCCCTTTATGTTGTAAAGCACTGTGTGAACTGTTGACACTTTATAAATCCTGTATAGTAATAAGAAGAAGACATTTAGAAGCAGCAGCATGCTTTTATCATCTGTCATGATGGGGTTAATAGTACAAAACCAGCATATAATCACTACTAGAAGGAGTTAATTTATACTGTGAAAGTAACACAAAAACACACGATGTACAGGCTTGAGCTTTGTGTGCGCTGCACTACATTTTCTGATATGTAAATAAAAAATGCATTAATCGGCTGACCGACTGATTATGAAAATAGTTGACAAAATATTTCCATAATCTATTATCTTGATTAGTTGTCCCAGCCCTAATTTACATATACAGTGCTCAGCATAAATGAGTAGACCCCAACAGATTTGTCAGAAAACCTTTACTTTCCTTTCAACATTTTCTATGGGATACGCAACGCTGTACATAAATGAAATTTATGTCATTTTCTTTCCACAAATAGAGCTTTCTTTTGGTGGTATTTGATATCTCTCTCTCTCCCTCTATTTTTTTTTTTTTTTACTTTTTGCTATAACACATATCCAATAAAAAAACAAATACACATTTCTTCATAAATTTAGGCCAAAATGTATTCTGCTACGTCTTTGCTACAGAAAAAAAAAATCACAATAAGTGTATATTAATTGGTTTACGTGAAAGTTATAGCATCTACAAATGGCGGTATATACACTGGAATTTTTTAATTTATTTTTTATACTAGTAATGGCGGCGATCAGCAACTTATAGCGGTACTGCAGCGGGCATTCTGACACTGGGTGGGAATTGACTGCCACTGACATCTCCAGTGACACTAATAAAGTGATCAGTGTTAATAAAAAGAACTGACACTGTACCAATAACACTGGGCAGGAAGGGGTTAACAGTGTGCTGTTTTACTAGGGAGACCTGGAAAGCCAAACTGGAGTGATTGTTTCCCAGGATATGTACACTGCAGAGGAATGGCACATATGGGTGTTGTTCACGCAGAAAGCCTCTCCTAAAGCCCACCTAGAATTTGCTGAAAAAGAAGAAGACTACTGGGACTCTGTATTCTGAATTCACATATGTACTGCTCTATATTGAAAGAGAAGATGCTACCATCACTCCATGCCCTTGGTCGTTGTGCACTTTTCCAACATGACAATGATCCAAAACACACATCTAAGGCCACTGTTGCACTTCTGAAGAACAGAGTGAAAGTGGTTCAGTGGCCAAGTATGTCTCCTGATCTGAACCCAATCGAACACCTATGGGGAATCCTGAATAGTCAAGTTGAGTATCACTCTCCATCCAGCATCCAGGCTCTAAAAGAGGTAGTTCTTGAAGAATGGAAAAAGATAGATGTTGCAATATGTCCCAACTTGTTCATTCCATGCCTAGAAGACTTGGTCCTATCCCTACAAATCATGGAGGTAATACAAAATACTAAATGTAGTAGTTTTTGTTGTGGGGTGTATTCATTTTTGCATCAACTAATTGGAGCATAACTGAAGATTTTGTAAAGTTATATTATTAACCTTACTTTTATGTAATGAGCTAAACAAATGTTCTATAAAACACACACACACACGTGTGAGCACAATATAGTAGGTTTTTTATGGTAATTTCAAAATCACAGTACTATAGTTTTTGTTTTGTTTTTTAATTTTTGGGGGATGTACAGGGGATGAGATAAAGAGTTTTGTGGAAGATGTGGTAACACTGAAGTGAAAGCATAACTGAGGCACAGAGACATGGGTGTTGTGAAGCTTTATTAGACCCATTTTGATACATGTGGGTCAAGGGCTGATTCACACATGTGCAGTGCAGATTGAAGCTCAGGTTTCATAGCTAATTGATACAGTAGTTGTTCAGTGGTTCAGGTCAGGTTTGCATCAGGTTCAGGTCACGATTTTATCCTGTTCACAATGGATGATGTGCGGTTTAGAAACGGTTCCCATAGAAGTCAACAGCCTGTAATCCACACCTGAACTGGACCACACTGCTCAAACATCGGACACAACTCTTTTTGAGTCCGCGCTGAATCCACACTGCCAGTGCACTGGACATATGTGAACAGGTACCATAGGAAGCAATGTTATTTCACGTCATGTGGATTGGATGTGGTTCAAACCACATCCAATCCGCATATATGTGAACCAGCACTTGAGAGTCTGGGGAAGTGAGTGGCAGGAGAGTACTCACCTTTGACAGTTAACATACAATATTCCTGAGGCACTGGACATGTGCTTATTTATTTAAACTTTGATACACTAGGGGGCGGTTGGTGTTTTGTTCAGCTGCTGGGGGTTGGTATTGAAAGCACTTGAGTGCTGATGGACATCTGAATTATTTTCTAATAAAGACAGGGCTGGATTCCTGGCTTGTCAAGTGTCTGTTAAAAGTCAGCAGCTGCAGTATTTGTAGCTTTCTTTTTAATTTCTTAAAACAGGACAAAAGTTTCTCTATAATGCTGCTTTCACACTAAAA